CACACACACCACACCACACCACACCACGCCACGCCACGCCACGCCACGCCACGCCACGCCACGCCACGCCACGCCACGCCACGCCACGCCACGCCACGCCACGCCACGCCACACCACCCCAGGCCAGGCCAGGCCAGGCCAGGCCAGGCCAGGCCAGGCCACGCCACGCCACGCCACGCCACGCCACTCCACGCTTCACAATTTCATGTAGAGTGTGAGCGTGAACATGACAAGTATGCTGGAGCTCTGTGCGGGGGACCGCTTGAGCTTCAAAGAGACGGCCACGTCTTGAACCACGCAGCTTTTAAGAGGTACGTCCACGACCATGTCATGGTGTGTGAAGGCCATTGGGTCAACCCCTACAGGCCCCGGAGCGCCAGGGCGAGTACATCTACAAACTTTGCACATGCGTCAAATCACGTTCTCCATGCACTGTGTGAGCATGAAAAAGATGCGGATGCTCTACACGGGGGTGCCGCGTAAGAAAACTCGGTCGGCATAAAACCAAGCACATTGACAAAGCGAAGAATAAAAAACCAAACACTTCCGCATAACAGAAAAACCACGAACATGTAACCAAAAGCCTGGCAGCATAAAAGCAACCTAGCCGGTTTCTATTAGGAGTACCACTGCTATTGTTTTTACTCCTATTTTTATTCCTCTATTTTACTACTATTATGACGATTTTTGTTTCTACTATTTGTATTGCTAATATTGGGATTGCTCTTGATGTTTTAGGAACGCACAGCTGCTTGACCTTCACAGGGCTTGGCGCACACATACCCGCATGAATGGCATTTTGAACAAAAAGGAATGAACCAACACCTGCGACATAACGGAATGCCTCGGCTTCCGGAAGCAAGAAAGCTAACCCAATTGGTCATTTCACATGCTTTTTGAATACACGTGGAGTGTTTCCTGCAGCAGGAGCATTCCTGAGACCACCCAAACGGGCGACGGGAGCAAAATGGCGGGCTGTAGGATGAGTATCCCATGTTTCGCACGAAGAGCCGCCTCAAGACATGAAGTTTCCAAGCCAGAAACCCCAAGCTGCGGCATCCAAAAGGTACGAAGGAACATCGGGGCTAGTCTTACCGATGTTGAGCGATGATTTAGAAAAGCTTGAGCCTTGCATTTTCCTTCCAAGTTGTTAGTTCCTGTTTGGGTTTGTATCATGAGGCTCCTACTACTGGTTGGGGTACAAGCATTGACCCCTTCTCTTTTATGGAATATTTTACTACAGTAGCTAGTATGTATGAAAGCTGCTGAGCACCTTGCAGGGGATCTCACATTGGCTTGATCTTCGTGCTGTCCCTTTTCCTCTTTGGCGCAATTGCCTCGGCCCCAAAATCAGATACTGTCCATGATTTGTGTTAGCTAGTATGTGATCAGCATACTCTGCACCCGGCTGGGAATTCGGAAAGCATTCCATCAGGGCACTTTACAGACCCTTTAGAACAGTAAACAAGTTGTTCCACAAGGTCTGAGGTGTCCACTTTGAAGTCAAGAAATCTTTTTTTCATGCCAGGATCCCTGAAAGGACATGTTCCAGGACGATGGCCCGAGCTGTGACAATCATACATGCAGTCGCATAGTCCAGATTCCTTTCCCTTCTACAGAAGTCGCTTCATTGAATTTTCGTTTTGGGTATACTCATTGTCCGTCAGCCTCAATCCCCAATCCCTAAACCCCGTGCTCCAACTAAAATGCTACAAACCACAGGACAGGGCGCAAGCCTATACGCTGTATGAGCTAGTGTCAATAATAGGCTTTTTAAGGGGCCCTTTACAGTGGACGCAGGGGTCCCTCTTGTAGTTTAGTATAGTCCCAGTTTCCCTTTCATTTTCCATGTTCTTTTCCATTTGATTGTCCATTATGGTAGTTTCCATTCAATCATGTACCAAATTTTGCTTGTAGGCCATATCATTTTGGCGAGGCTGCTTTGCTCTTCCTCCGGGAACGAAATTCCTCAGGCTGGGCCAGTGAAGCTTGTTCGTGGGCTGAACCCTAAACCATAGAGTCAGGGTCCAGACTGCAGATGCTGCGATGTCTTCAGTCCCGGCACTTTTAAATATGGCTGCCGCGCCTGCCTGTTATTAGTATGATGGCGCGTCTTGCTATTATGATCTTAGCCATGGTAATTTCTGCATGCAATGGCGAATCACCGGCATTACAGTGGTGATTGTCCTTGCCGCTATGCCTGCTGCATCAGGGAGTTGACAACGCGATCGCTATGCAACTCGCACCACCCTCAACATCTCTATAGGGGCCTGTAGGGTCTCCCCTCTCTACGGTCGCCCATGCTGAGAGCTTCTCTAATTTTTTTTTGTTCGACGATTGCTGACCCCTCCCCTGTGGCGAAGGAAGCGAGTTGCAACTTGGCTTGTGCATCTCATTCAGTGCAGTCCTCTTCTGCAACAACTTTATATGGACAGGTGGAAAGTAGCAGCAGTGGCTGTAAGGGCAAGTTGCACCAATGTAGACTTTCAAATTCCCAGTTCATTTATTACCACTAGGCCAGTAGGTCATGCTCTAGGAAAAGGAGTGGATTCCGGGCAAATACTGGGCCTGGACCTTGGTGAACCTGCAATGCTAAGGCGGGAGAAGGGCAGAAACGCCAATGCTGTTCAGTCGCAATTAGCCTGTCGGGGCTGCTATCAACCTAGAACTCTTGAGCAGCAGGTTTTGTTCAGAGACCTGCCATCACCCTAGTTACTAGAGAGCTACTAGAAAGAGTGTAGCCAGGGAATATGCGCCTAAAAAGTAGACATGTGTGGCAGCAGACAGTGCAGTTGTCACTATAAAGACTTTGGATGACCTGGGCAGCGATGGCTTTTTGACAGAGCTTTGTGGAAGATAAGGTTGCGGAAGAGTCCGAGGCTACTGACACTGCTCACGCAGAAGGGTTTGAGGAGGCACATGTCGCCGCGGCAACCGCAGCTTCTCCCGAAACTGCTGAAGACGCGTGTACTCTTGCGGAGATTGCGAATCTGATGGAGGAGTGTCGAGAGCAGTCCATGGGTGCAGACGATACGCGCGGGGAGTTCTTTTCACAAGAAGTGGCAGAAGAAGTTTGCCAAGCTTCAGCTGACTCTGTCATGGAAGCCGTTGAGGGCACGGATGATCCCAAGTCTTTGTCACTATCAACTGCTGCAACTACCCTTGGGCGTTTGGGTGCCTGGGTGCATCGTGCAAGGGAAGCTGCCCGACTCAGGATGGCGAAGGAGGAGTTCGAGCTGACCCAGGTGAGACTCGAAGGTTTAGACTTAAGTAATCTTGGATGGAAGCTGCTCAAACACCAGGGTCAATCCCCGCATATCACCGACAACCCCTATTCAATCTTCATGATGTGATCTCAATACACCCGAAAGAGTCACTTCCTTAAGTCGAGAGAAACCCCAGAAACGCAGGTGAGACTGATCACGGAGGATCAGCTGCCACCAGCTGAAGATCGAGTCTACCCACGTCCAAATCTCATCAAGCACCTTGGTTGTGCTGGGGACCTGCGGCTGACAGTTGCTGATTAGGGCTAAAACCTAAGCGCCAAACCTCCAACCCTGACCCGACATCCTGGCGAAGCCCTGACCAGGTACAAATGGGTGCTGTGCACATGGGTGGTTGTCAAAATTATGGTCCCTTTTTGGATCCCTGTTATAATACGGCCCCTAGCATTTTTAGGGTAAACCCTAAGCCCTAAACCCCTAAACCCTACAAATTTCTCAATATTATCCCTATATATTCCCTAATGAGGACCCCCATAATCCCTCTATATTCCCTATATATCCCCTGGGGTCCCTAGGGTGCCCCCTTTTTGAGAAACCCCCAGGTACAAATGGGTGCTGTGCACATGTTTTGAGCATGACTGGAAGCTGCTCCGCCGCTGGTTTGCAGTCTGATGACAACATGGAATCATCGGGGCTGCACTGTCTAGCTGTATATATAATCCCAATATACTATAGTAGTTTCCATATTCTTTTCCATTATCCAAATATAACCCCTAAACCCTATAATAACCCCATGATCGTTTCCATTTTATTTTCCATTATCCCTATTGGGGTGTAGGGATTGAAGGCTTCAGGAGGTGAAGGCCTCCAACGTTTATGAATGCCACTAGGATCTGGCGTCTGGGGCGCATCCAAAGCCTTGCGCATGCGCAAGGACCCAAACACATGGAACCAGTCCTGTCCAAGTACATGCGCAGTGCGAATGTAGAACGCGCGGGTTCTGATTTATATTGTAATTTACGTAGGAGGAATGGACAGCTGCTGCACAAGGTCCCAAACTGCTGCGAAGCTTCTTCTCTTCAGAGGAGGAGTGTGAGGCAGTGGGGCATTCTGAACAGCCTTGCAGAGGGTTTGCAGGCGGAAGTTGGGCGGAGGACATGTTCCGAAAATGCACCCCCCTCCCTTACCCCCCCTTCTCCCCCTAAGAGTTGGCTGAGCAGATCTAGGTGATGGAACGACACCTGTTTCGAAAGTACATGCAACTCGGCTGCAATGCATATCGGGCGTGCGTCCCTGTGCTGTAGCTTCATTTCAGGTGGGTCATGCCTCTGTACCGGAAGCTATCCTCCGAAGACTGCAACGACAGAGGCTCTGTGCCCGACGACATCAGCATGTTGCCCGGCAGGGGTTGATGAGCCTCAGCTAGTGTTTGCTTTTGTCTAGTATGCTTGATCTATCACTTCCATCATGGTTCTAGAGGCATCAGGGCTCAGAAGACGCAGGTTCGGCGTCAGCAAGCGTTCCGCTGCCAGTCTTCTGGGTAGCGAAGGCCGGATGACGGGCCATGTGTGAAGCTCGAGTGTGTGTGTGGCCATGTGGAAAGAAAATAGTACAAATAGGATACCCCAAAGGAAGCAAGGTTCCCATGCGGGTATCATCATCTTGATACCCGGAAAGGAATATGTCTCAAGTGCCTGCTCTTTCTAAAGCAGGTTTACCCATCATCATCCACACGAGTGGTTAGTTTCTTTGCGTCCCGATAATACATCGTCGGTTTGTTACAGATCGTCGCGGGAGTTGTTGAAACGATCCAATGTCCAAGGTGATTCCTCCTTGTTCTGGGCGTTTCCCAAAATTGGGGGGTATATAGTGGTACATAGGGAATGTATAGGGAATACTGGAAAAGAGAATGGAAGCTACTATTTAGGGTTTAGGGTTTCCTTTTTCGGGATCCCTCAAAGCACCTGCGCTCTCGAGAAACCCCGAATGTCCACGTCTGACCGGAGCCGTAAACCGTGTGTAAGGCATTGGCATCATGGACAAGACTTTCAGTCAGGCCTAGCAGTGCGACATCAGTAGGGTTTAGGGTCCTGCGGATGATTCAACACTGTGTTTGCGGGAGGAGGGGCAGGAGTCTTAGGGCAACTGCTATTTATAGCAATTGGACCGTATTCCCGTGCTTGCAGCTACTGTTTTTGTCACTGCCACTTGAGCGGGCTGAAACCCTAATTGACGCTCTGGCCATTTAAGTCACACCTTCTGGAAGAAGTAGCTGTTTTTTCAACGAGCTCAGGATTTTTCGATATGTTTATGACATGGTGGGGCACAGCAAAGTAGCATCTGAGAAATCTCCATAATGTGGGCATGTCAGAAGGCTTTGGTGACGCAAAAATCGCCCATGCAAGGATCTTGGAGGAGCCTTTAAAGGAAGGTCTCAAGGGGTACAGTAGTCTCCTTTGCCACACTCTTGAGTGCTTACTACGAGGACCATGAGCAGAGAGGCATAATTTGTGAGAAGCCCTCCAGTTCTCATCTTCGCAGGGTTGCTTGCCGTTGTTCGAGTTTCAGACAAGATGCCCTTCTGTTGCATGGGATAATGAGCCTGTTGCTTGATACAAGGTCGATGGGTCGAACTTTCTGACAGGCCGAGATCGGCAAGATCTACACTCAAGCCAATGTGACGAGGCGCGAGCACGTCGAAGTGGCGCGCCTTGATGGCGGTTCTCGCAGTGATGGGTGCATCTTGGGGCGCATGCAATTGATTTTATACCGCCAGTTTGCTGGGTCTCGCAGATGGCTGGGACTGAAGATAGAACCACATGGCTGCAGACTGCAGGGGGGGAGCATGAAGCTGCTTCTTCTGCACTGGACAAGTAGCCAGACCCCAAATGTCCATGATTGTCGTGACTAGACAAACCTAGCGCCTACTCGGTGCTGTTCAGGAAGCAGCTATTCACCATCAATTCCATCAAAAGTTGCCAGGCCGGAAGAGACCGAGGGGTTTCAAGCTGCTTAGCCGCAGGCTTGTTTGAGCCATGGGGATTCGCCGAAACCTCGAACATCGTTGGGGATTTGAGGGGGCACGGTGTAGTCGGTGCTCAAGTTTTTCAGAACCTTGAGTTTTCAGACGTATTCAGACTGCAATCGATAGCCCAAGTAGTACAGCCAAGCAGAAGACGTGTGATAGCTGCTGCTGCTGCTGCTGCTACTACAACAACTGCTGCTGCTGCTGCTACTACTACTACTACTACTACTACTAGTAGTACGACGACGACGACCACCACGACCACGACCACGACCACGACGACCACGACGACCACGACGACCACGACCACCACGACCACCAGGACCACCAGGACCACGACGACGACGACGACGACGAACCACCATCCCCGGGATCATCC